GCGCCGTGCGGGTGGACGTGAGGCTGCCGCGGCAGGACGCTCTGGTCCTGGAGGGCGTCAGGATCGGCCCTGAGGCCGACCCGGCGCCGACGCTGGGCGGTCGCCTGCTGCTGGTGAGCGCCGCCGAGCCATCTGGCTCCCGTCCCAATGTAGATCCCACACCCAGATCCGGCCTTCATCCTGGACCAACCCCTGGCAGCCCAGCGCCCCTTCCCCAGGCTGCCCAGGCTCCCGGCATTCCAGCTTCCAAAACCTGAGATCCAGATGCTCTTCCTAAACCCTGCACCCCCTGTGTGTCTGATCCTCCCTCCTCCCTCTGCCCACGGACCTTCGCCCCACAGATGGACATCGTGGACGTTGAGCAGGAGGTGCCCGGAGAAGGCTGGATTGCAGTGGCGTATGTGGGAAAGGAGCAGGCGGCCCAGTTCCACCAGGAGAGTCAGGGCAGTGGCCCGCAGTTCTATCCCAAGGCCCTGGTCCAGCAGGTGCAGGGGGTGTATGTGAGGAAGGGGACTGGAGAAGGGTGTTTCAAGGCATTTGCTAGAGCCAGACTACCAGGTGGGACCTTAAGGAGCTTCCAGAAAACTGCTTGGCCAGGGTGAGGCAAGGGGCCCCAGTTAGGAAAACTGAGTCAGTGTGGTGTGGAAACGGGAGGTGGGGGGAGGCCAGAGTCAGGAAGCTCTTCCAGGCTCTGAGAATATTCGATTGGAAGTTCTTGCTGGGGGTTGGTGGGCAGCCCTGCCCTGCTAGGACTGGGGAAGACACAGCATTGTTTGGGTTCCACAGAGCATCTGGGAAGAAGGCAGGAGGAATAAAGTTTTCTGCCCTTGACCTCAAGGAGCTTATAGAGGAAATGCTCATTGTAGTGCCAGTAGCTAAGAACAGCTGTGGTTTACAGTGTGTGGGCAGGGTGTGGGGTAAGGTGTGGGCTAGCCTCTGCTTCTGTCCTGCAGATGCGGAGGGCGCTCTTCCTGGGAGCCTCTGCCCTGCTTCTCCTCATTTTGAACCACAACGTGGTCCGAGAGGTAAATTGCATCAGGCTTTATGGGTGCATAGGCTGGGGAATAGGAGACCAAGACCAGCTGACCTTTCTGTTTCCCTATAGCTAGACATATCCCAGCTTCTGCTCAGGCCAGTGATCGTCCTCCATTATTCTTCCAATGTCACCAAGCTGTTGGAGGCACTGCTGCAGTAAGTTGGGGTTTGCGCTCCAAAGGACTGGGCCTGGGTGCTGAGGGTCCCTGGCTCTGCCATGGGCTCAGGAGTCTGGGGACCATGGCCTTTCCTGTTAGCCTTAAGACTGTAATCTCCTGGTCTGAAAAATGGGTGAGGAGACTGGAAGGAGGTCTGGAGGGCGGAGGCGGCCCTGTGGGCAGAGGCGGCCTTGTGGGCAGAGGAGAGTGGCTTCTGCAAGGAGGAAAACAGATTCCTGATTGATAGGCTCTTCCCTGGGATTCTAGGCTTTCCTGGCCTGGCTGGTATGAGAATTGGAAAAACCAATAGCCAGGAAAGGCCTGGGGGCCAAAGCAGAAGGGCTGCAGGGTGATAATTTGGAATATCCTTTTCCCATGAGGCTGGGGGATGGATGGTTCTGGGCCTCCCTCCTGAGAGCCCTTCTGTCTGGCTCTTTGGTGGCTTTCCCTCCCAGGAGGACCCAGGCCACGGCTGAGATCACTAGCGGAGAGTCTCTGTCAGCCAACATCGAGTGGAAGCTGACCTTGTGGACCACCTGTGGCCTCTCTAAGGATGGCTACGGAGGATGGCAGGATTTGGTGTGCCTGGGAGGCAGTCGGGCCCAGGAGCAGGTGGGTGCCCCAGGAGAGGAGGCTCAGGTGAGACCACATACATTACTTGTCTCAAATCCTGAGGCTTCTCACCTGGGTGGTGAGGACTGCCCTTCTTCCACCTCCCAGGGCTATTGTATTCAGTGACATGACGGTTACCTGGTGTGGTGCCTGACTTAAAGTCATGTGCAATCAATGTTAGGTGCTATTGTCATGTCATTCTCCTGCTCAGAAGCCTTCTTTGGCTCCGCATTGCCTGCAGAATAAGGTTCAGACTCTTCAGCTTGGCTTTCACAGCTCTCCTACTCACTTTCAAATTTTTTTTCTAGTCTTCTTACACTCCCCCACCCTATGCCATTTACTGGCCTTCACACATGCCCTGGTTTCCCGCACATGCCTTGGTTTCCCACCACTAAGCCTTGTCCATGCTTGGCTGCAGGTATGGACATCCTTTTTTGGTCCTGATATATCCTAGTCCAGCCAAAGCCCCCACAGCTCATCTTGCCTGCCTTCTTTGGAAAGCCTCCCTCATACCCTCAGCTCCCAGTCCCTCTCTCCCTCTTCTAAATCACAGCAGTGCTTTGTCAGGCCCTTCACGGGGCTCTTAGGACAGCCCATCCTGTGTAAGAGTTGGAGAGAGTGATTTTGTCTCCTGAAAGCCAGGGCTGCGTCTCATTTGTCTCTGAATTTTCCAATGCTCAGCATCAAGAGGATTCGAAGGTATCCTGTTTGCAAGCATTTCCCAACTCTGCAGAATAGGCATGCCCTAGTCTCCTGGCATGCAGCCTCTAGCAAGTGTTGGAGGTCATAAGCCATGTGAGGCAGCAGATCAGGCAGATTTGGGTTCAAATCCTGGCTCTGAAACCTTAGCTGAGTGGTCTCAGGCTGAGTGTTTAACCTCTTTGGTCTCATGTTCCTCATTGGTGAATGGGGATGGCGCACGGCCACAGGATTGTCAGGGGATTGTGTATGTAAAGCTCATGGTGGGTACTGAGCAAATGGGCAGTTGCTGCTCCTCTGAATCTTGTTACAAGTGCTTGAATAAGTCAGGAGAAACCAAATAACTTTTGAGATCCTAAGATACTTGGGGCTCTACAGGAAGGGCTGTGGAGGGTATAAAAGGCAGTAAGACCTGGGCCCTCGAAAGGCTCAAAGACAAGCAGGGAAGAGGAACTCTGACCTGAAGGCAGCCTTGGCAATTCAGCCTAGACAGCACATCGAATTCCTGTGAGTAGCACAAACCACAGTTCTGTGGAAGCAGCAGACACTGAGGATGGGGGACTGGAAGGGCTTTGGAAGAGAAGGGATCCCCACTGTATCTCCCCCTGGAGAACAGCCCACACAGACTTCTGTGTGAGACGGGAATTTGGTGAGGGGCTGTCAGATGAGAGGCCGGAATGAGGTGCAGACAGAAGGGGTTGAGCTACGAGAGGAGCAGGCTGGGAGACAGCCCAAGAGGCTTGGAGGCAGGAGTAACAGTCTGTAGGCTGCTCTGGCTGGTACAAAGAGCAAAGCTGAACAGCTGGATGAGGTGGGCCATGCAGGTGTTGGGTGGCCATCATAGCTGAAAGGCAGCTGATGCCAGCTCTCAGCCTGGACTCCAGGGCCCAGTCATATCAGAAAAGTCCAATGGACCATGGCCTTACTCCCAACCCTGCTTCCCTCCTCACCTGGGGGTCCCTAAGATGCACCTGGGAACACTGGGTCTCAGGCCTATAGGAGAACTCCAGGCTGGCCACGCCCTTGGCCCACCCAGTACTCACTGGTCTCTTGAAAGCACTGGAGTTCCAGGTTCTGCCCTGGAGAGCTTACACTGTAATGGCCACTCATTGAGTCCTGCTAGGTGTCAGCCTGGTTTAGCGTGGCAGGGGGCACAAGGGCAAGGCAGCTCCAGCACTCACAAGGCCCCGTCTGGGGAAAAGATAGGCCAGAGACACTGTCACTCTGCTGGGGTGAGCGCTGAGCTGGTGATAGGCATGGGCCCTCTGGGGCAGAGTGAAAGCACCCGAGCTTAGGGGTGTGGAGAGAGCTTCCTAGAGCAGGTGCCACCACCCCACCAGGAATGAAGAGATGATAGGGACACAGACACCAGCGGGGAGGGTGTAGGACAAAGTGGGGAGCTGGGACTCACATTCACCGCTTAGTGGCCCTCAGAGTGCCTCTGCCCTGAGTAAAAGCAACATCTTATGACTCTAGCAACACCCAACCTCGTCCAGAGTGGTGGCCTCTTTAACATTTATTAATTTCTCACCCCTTTTCCCCCACCCTTGTAGTTGAACATCAGCATTAGCTGGGGAATAACATGATGGCGGAAAGCTACTAGGAATGCAGAAAACTTTTAAGCAAATGTGTTAGTCATAATATACCCACAAACCCTGTGACACAGTGCGACTGTGTGGGTGGGGTGTGCCTACGTGGTGAGCGGGACTGGTTTTGCTTACAATGCTACATCATTTCCCGAGCCAGCTGTTTAGTAGTCAAAGCCTAGCTGCCACACTGCATATGGGAGGAGTTAGGTCAGTGCCATCCCCCACCCAGGTGCCTCTCAAAGACTAGATGAGGCACGTCAGACCGAGTTTCCTCCCTCCAGTGGGACCACTAAGGGCAGCAGCAAGGAGACACAGGTTTATAATAGGTACGAGGAGGGCTGAGCAAGGGAAGCAAGAGGGGAGCACTTGCCTAGCCCTGGTGGTCAGGAAGAGCTTCCAGAGTAAGGGGCATCCAGAGACATTAGCCAAGGGAAGGGGCAAGAAAGAAGACAGTCTCCAAGAGGGGAACAGGGTGTAGAAAGGCACAGACGTGGGAGGGAGCAAGGAGCAAGGGATGCTGAGCGGAGGGCGGGGATGGGAGATTGAGGGCCTGGAGGGTGGGCTTGGAGTTTGAGTTTTCTCCTGAAGGCAGGGATTGGGCTGGGGAAGGGGAGCATCGCAGGGAAGAATGTGAAGAAGTGGGACTGCGTGTTAAGGTTTGCCTGCGGCTGTGCTGGGGAATGGGTGGGCAAGGCTAGAGTAAGGGACCCAAAAAGCAGTAGAGGAATGGGCTGGAGAGGAGGGGACATGAGACCCGTAGGAGAGCGAGGCAACAAGGCCTGGGGACTGGCGCCTTCTCAAAGGGCATGTGAATGTTGTTTGGCCTGGATGGAGGTGGGTGGGTGATGGCTGCTAGAAAGCAGACCCCAAGTGTGGGTTAGGGATGGGAGTAAGAAGGTGACTGGGCTGGGGAATCTGTGAGGCTGCTAGGTAGCTGCTTCCATGAATGCCGAAACGGTGGGTTTGTTGCCCTGGAGAGGCCTAGGCTGGGGACAGATGTGGGTCGCCTCACTGTGTAGGGTGGAGCAAAGACAGCTGGGTGGACCCTGGGGTGGAGGCTTAAAAGGAGGAAGCTAGGAGTCTGGTACCAATGAACCTCACCTACCTTGTCCTTAGGATGGATTTACTGGGGGAAGAGGATGGGGTAGCCCCAGTGTCCCTGACACTCTGCTCCCCTCCCCAGAAGCCCCTGCAGCAGCTGTGGAACGCCATCCTGCTGGTGGCCATGCTTCTGTGCACAGGCCTTGTGGTCCAGGCCCAGCGGCAGGCGTCGAGACAGAGCCAGCGGGAGCCCGGAAGCCAGGTGGGAGCCAGCCTGAGGAAGTCCCGATGCCTCCTACCTTCGGGCCTGCCAAACTGTGCCTGCTCTCTCCCCACAGGTGGACCTGCTCAAGCGCCGTGTGGTGCAGAGACTGGCGTCCCTTAAGACTCGGCGCTGCCGGCTGGGCAGGGCGGCCCAGAGTCCCCCAGAGCCTGGTGCAGAGACCTGCGCTGTGTGTCTGGACTACTTCTGCAACAAGCAGGTTAGTGCCCTGGGCACAGGCCAACTATTGGCTGACGTGTGATGACCAAACTCCAACTCCTGAGAGACCTCAAAACCACCCCCACCAGACCCTTCCTCTATCCCCACCAGCACCACAGAAAGCAGAATGGTGGAGGGTGGGGATGGCAGGCCACAGTGGTTTTAGTTCTCCAGCTCAGGTGAAGACACCGGGCTAGGTACTTCCACCTCGAGGTTTGCCACTGTGGCCTGAGCCCTTCCCCACTTCCTCACCCCTACCCCGCAGTGGCTCCGGGTGCTGCCCTGTAAGCATGAGTTTCACCGAGACTGCGTGGACCCTTGGCTGATGCTCCAGCAAACCTGCCCGCTGTGCAAATTCAACGTCCTGGGTGAGCACCAAGGGTGGTTGGTGGCCGATGGCTGGCTCTGCCTGGTTCCCACCTGACGCCTCCCTCCCTGTTCTTTTTCCTTCTCTCTGTAGGGAACCGCTACTCAGATGATTAGCCTCAGGAGCTGGGTCTCTGCACATGGGGATGGGATCCCTCGGCCTGGGCTCTCGGAACAGCACAGCAGGATGGACAGGACAGAAAGCCCTGTGGGTGGAAGGAAGGATAGGGGCCTTCCCTGCTGAGGAGCAAGGTGCCCCCACCACATCCACACTGGGAAGGAGGGGCTACAGCGCCCAGACCTGCTAGGAAGAGAGGAAGAGAGGCCCCTTTAGGGACCTTCTGTGCAATCCTGGGGTGTCTGTGTCTGCCCTTCTTACAGATAGCTCCCAGGACCCTGAGCATGGGCCTGGGGAAAGAGGGTGTGTGGCAACGCAGCTGTTCCTGTGGCTCCAGGAGCCTTATGGCCTGCCTGTCAGGACATCCCAGGGGCCGAGGCTGCAGTGGCCAGGTTTTATGTTTATTTATTGGGGGGGCAGGTTGGGTGAGGAGCCACCTGGCCTGACCAACTTTCAGGTCACATCTTGGTCAGGGCTGTGATGTTACACCCAGAGGTCTGCTGCCCTTGGTCCTTGGGCACTGGGAGCCACAGGTCCCACTGCCTGTCCCACCAGGCTCCCTTCCTGGACCTGGCTGGGACCAGAGACCTTAGAAACCATCTAGTCCTGTGCTTCTCGGTGGGGTTACGGGTTGCTGACCAGGATACTTGAAGCCACAGAATAAATGTGGTGCATCTTCCAGAGGCATCCATTTTGTTTAGAAGATTTGGGGTAGGGAAGGTTTAATACTAAAATAAACATGGATATATTTTAACATAAGTAAAATTTGTGTGGATGTTTTAAGATGACAAGTCACCTTGGGTTCTACCGCCTGTGAGAGGTGGATTCTAAGATAGCCTCCAAAATCCCCCCAGCCGCCATGAACATGCTTTGTATAATATTGACTCTTAATGAGTTTGACTCCTGTTGGATTCTGTTATATAGCACAGTGGACCTTGAGAGGGAAAGTATCCAAGTGGGCCTAACCTTATAGCCACATGAGAAATTCTGTTGCTGACTTGAAGATGGAGGGGGCCACGTGGCAAGAAAAGCAGACACTCTCTAAGAGCTAAGAGTGGCCCCGTCTGACCGCCCAGCAAGGAAACAGACCTCAGTCCTACAGCTGCAAGAATTGGAATTCTGCCAACAACCAGAATGAGCCTGGATTCTTCCCCAGAGCCATTAGAATGGAATGCAACTTGGCAGATACTTTGATTTCAGCCTTCTAAGACCCTGAGCAGAGAATCCAGCCACACAGAGCCTGGGCTTTTGACCTACAGAACTGTGAGCTAATAAATAGAAGCAGAAAGGAGCTGAACTGTGATGGGTCCTCCCCTGCACTTGGGACCAGGCCTCCTGCCTCAGGGAGCCCCCAGCCTCAGGGCTGGCTCTCACTTGCGAGGGGCAGGGCCAGGGCATCCTCGCCTCCCTCAGGAACCCCTGTGCTCCATAAGAGCAAAAATTGGGCAGATCCTGGCCATGCCAGTTCAGCTGCACACCCAGCCCCTCTTGACCCTTCTCTTTAAGCTGAGGTGCTCTACCTGCTGGCCTCCTTACCAGGGGAAATGTCACAGGAAGCTGGGAGTACCCACTCTGAGAAGTCCTCAACAAGCTTTAGGGCCTGTCCCTCACAGACGAGGTGACCCAGAACAGACTGGAGGCTTCATGAGGAAAACGACTGCTGTGGGCCTGGTGTGGCTGGTGGTGTCAGTATCCAGGCCCCAAAGGGTAGGCCTCGGAAAGCCAAGGCTGGCTGGGGTGTCCCGCTCTCTGGTTGGGTGAGGCCTTCCCCTGTCTTCAGTGGTCTCCTGGGGTCTGTCCTTCTGGATTTACAGAAACCTTTTGTGACTCACATTTCCTGAAGGCGAGTTCCTTGGGGAAAGGAATGCTGACTTTCTTGGGTCCTTAATGTCCCCATCCCCAGATTCAGAGCCAGGGTGGGAGGCTCCAGGTTCGGACTTGAGGCTAAAGAAACATCGCCGCCCTCTGCCTGTCTCCAGGAGCCCAGAGCCGGGACCCCAGTCTTTGACTCCTTTCTTGCCTTAGATATTCTCACTGGGCCCACCTCTAACTGCTCTCCTTCCCCGGCACACCCCCTACATTGATCTTGCCTTTCATTGGTGGGGGGCGGGGGGTGACTGAGTCCATGCTACCCTTTGGCCCTTGCTATGGGGATTGAAAGGCTGCCTTTCACTTGGCCCAGGTGCTAGAAGCTTCTTTCTGCCCTCGGTGTGCCATCTTCTTCCACTGCCTCCATCAGAAAGCTCCCATTTACTGAGGATCCACGGTGTGCCAGGCCTCTGCTGATGAGTGACCTGCATGGCTGGGGATTCAGTGGTACCAGCCCAGGGCAGGGAAGGAAGGGCTCTGCCCCTAGCTCAGCCAGTGCTGTGAGGCCAAGGTCGCTGTGGGCAGATGGCTGGGGCTTTATTACATTAAGTAGGTTGCCAGCCACCTGCCCTCCAGCCCCACCCCACTACAGGCTACATTGGCCGCTCCTGGGGCTGGTGTGCAGGGCCACCCTGGCTCTGGCTTGGTGACAGTCTCCTCCTTAGCCTGGCCAAGGCCCGGATGGGGTTATGGGCACAGGTAGTCGAGTGGGTCACATCTTCCAGGGAGGACTTACTGGGCCGGCCACCGGGCTGCTGAGGTGGGGATGTCCGGGGCTGGCCAGGCAGGGTCCTGCCTGCACTGGCCATCCTGCTGCCAGGTAAATGCTGCCTGCCCAGAAGCCTGAGGGGAGGACCAGATGGCAAGAGCTCCTATAAGCAAGGGAGACCAGCCCAGCCCCTGTCTGCCCCGCCTTTAGCAAAGCCTCACTTACCCTGGGGATGCTCTCTGGACCTGGGCTGGTGGTGATGCTCCTTGGATTCCCTGGCTGGGAGGGGCCCAGAGCTGGTCCTGTGGGATCAGCTGCAAAGAAAGCCAAGCTCGGAAAGGCCCAGGAATTTCTCCCCGCACCCCTGCCAGTCCTGTACTGTTCAGAGAGGGTATCATAGCCAGGAAGGGTAGGGAGGTCCTAAACCTGTATCCAAACCTGTATCCTTTCTCTGAGGGGCAGGGTTTGGGAAGCTTCCCAGGGTTGCCTCGGCCACAGTAAGTGTGGGAAGGTTGCTTTCTAACAAGGCTCCTGGTTGTACTTGGAATGAAAGTACAAAGGGCCAGAGTAGGGGATTTGGAGCTGGAAGGCACTATACCATCCTCACACCTTAAAACGTGGAAGGTGTTTCACAACAGTGCAGCCCAAAGCCACATGCGATGAGACAGGCTCTCAACAGGTCCTCGGGGTGGGGTCTGAAGACCTCTGCTGAGTTGGGGGCCTCCTCCAAGTCCCCAAGGGCCAGCCCTCTCAGGTGGGGGAGTCAGGCTGCCCACCTTGAGGCCCCCCTGCTGGGCTACCTCCCGAATTTTGGACAGCATTGACCGGAGCCGCCCATTCTCTTCCTGTAGGACCCGGATGCGGATGTCGTTGGCCTGCACTTGCCTCTCCATGTCATCCGTGACGTTGCCGGAGCCTGTGGGGACACACTATCTGGCACTCATCCCACCAGGGCTGTCTCTTATGCCCAGTGGGACAGGACCTCAGAGGGCAGGCATGCCAGCTGGGGTGTGCCTTGGGTTGGTGGCCCAGCAGGCACAGAGGGAGCTGGGAAGGGTCAGTGCACTAGGCCCCCGGTCTCATTTTTCCTCTCCTGAGGCCTTTCTGCACTTCCAAGTTCCCCTGCCTGCTGGAAGGTGACCACAGCATTATAAAATTTGAGCGGTGGGTAGGACCTAGATCTTAGTAAAGACTTAGCAAATAGGCAAGAGTAAATCTCTTCCAAGGCCACCTATTTTTGGAGAGCCAGAGACAGGGAGTCGTCCAAAGTCACACAGTTCTCTTGGATATGAGTCAGAAATACAGCAAGGACATTCCTTCCCACCATATGGGGGATAGATGCTTCCTTCTGGCTCTATGAGCCCGGGCAAATCTCTGCCCACTCTGGTTCTCTGCTTCCTGGTTTGCAAAAAGAGGCTGCTACCTGCCAGGTGGGGCAGTTAAGAGGGCAATAGAAGGGCCTGGCATGTAGTCAGCACTCAGGAGTGATGACTTATAATGCACAGTTAAAGTGCAGTGGATCATCCCAACAGCTCTATGAATGGATTTGCCCTCAGAGCTTTAAAGGGCTGGAGGGGCTGGAATGAGAACCCAGGTGGCCTGGCATCCAGTCCTCTGTTGAGATGGGTCCCTAGAACTCCTGTGCCACAGGTTCAAGGGCATTGGACAGTTAGGGCTGTGCACCTGGAGCTGGCCACATGATGTGGTTTGGGAAGACACCAGGACGGGGGATACACGGAAGTACAGAAGTCAAGCGAAGAACTGGTATGTGACATGGTGATGTGCACAGGCTACAAAAGCAGCCAGACCTGTGTCTGGATTCAGCTGTGTGACTGTGGGAGGTCACCTTACTTATAGGCTTCCTTGTCCCCATCTACACAGAAAAGTAGACAGTACATGAGGCACCTGCATGTTGTGGAGGCTCCATAGGGGCCGAACTGCTGGCTGCCTCCGCTCTACCACCCTCGCTGCAGGCCGGAGAGGTGCAGACCCCAGTGTCCTGTCTACCTCAAGCCCCAATGTGCCCTGTGCACCAACCCCGGGTCCCTACTTTGGATCTGGGTCTCGACGGGCCTGTGCAGGTCCGGGAAAGCCACCAGTAGCCGTTCCTGCTCCCTCAGCTCCACGAGCTCCAATTCCAGCTCTGAGATGGTCAGCTGCAGATCCCTCGTTGCTTGCTCTAGGCCTTGCTTCTCCCCCTGCAGGCTTTGAAGCAGCTCCTGGGATAGAGGGAGGCTCAGACCTGGCCTGAGAAATAGTTCCTGGCTCCCCTGGGGACACTCCACCCCTACTCCCCAGACATAGGACAGGCCCACAGGCACTCAGCTGGGTAGAGGGTTCTCCAGTGAAAGGGAAGAGTCCCCTGTGCCCTCACGCTGCCCGCTCTCACCTGCTGGGCCCGGAGCTGGCACTGCCCCTGCTCCCTCTCGCTCTGCACTCTCTGCAGCTGCTCCTCCACGTGGGCCCGCTGGGCCTCGGCCTCATCCAGACTGCCACGAAGTTCTTCACGCTCCTGATCCAGGCTGTCCAGCTGCTGTAGCAGGGCTCGTTGTTTGGCCTGCAGGGACTGAGCCGGATGGGCGGGCAGGGAGGCCATGAGGCCCATGAGACTTGGCCTAGCCACGTGGGACTAAGGAGACTACAGTGTCTGTGACCTCCACTCTCCAAGCCCTCCCCTTTTGTGCCACAACTGTCTGTGTAGGGGGAGCCTGTGTACACGCACGGAGGGCAAAGGGCACAAGGAAGATGCAGCAGGGTGACATATACCCATCTGGTCAAGGCCAGGACCTCTGGCTTGCAGCCCCTGCGCCCTTGAAAAGCAGTTGGCTGACTTTATTGGCCTCCACCCCACTTCTCTTTGGTCAGTCTCCACTCAGAAAGGAATTCTAGGAAAAATGATTTTCTTCTCTTTAGGTCTCCAGTACCCCGTCAGGCCATGTCACATTTCCTGACACCCACTGAGGGCAAAGCAAAAAGGACCAGCCCCGGTCATCTTGAGTCCTGGGTCCACCTCTGGTTAGCTGTGCAGCCTTGGTCAATTTCCTTAAATTAATCTCACTCAGTCTGTTTCCTCATCCATAAAATGAGGATGACAAGAGTATCTGCCTCCTACTATTGTGAGGACGAAGAACGAGAGAGCTGTACAGGCTGAGCCCAGTGTTTGGCTCACAGAAGCCACTTGATGCGTGGCTCCCCACCCAACCTCTGAGGGTAAGCCCAGCTAGGACAGCCCCCAGACCTGCCCTCAGCCACTCCACTGGGGACTCCTGCAAGGCTCCATTGCCCAGGGCACAGCTCTATCCTGGGCCCCTGCTCACCCTGTGCCCTCTCTATCCTTCCTCCTGCTGATGGACTAATCATTAGCCATTGATGTCCAGTTCAAAGGCTACCTCCTCCAAGAAGCCATCCAGGATTCCCATAAGCAGATGTGACTGTCGTCTCTGGACCCCAGCAGCACTTCCCCTGCCTCTGACAGCCATCTGGCAGGAGACTGGGTGGTGGCACAACTGCTTGCCCTTGCCGAGTAGGGAGCTCCTCCAGAACAAGGTCTCATTTGGCCATTTCTGTCCCTGGGTCACCATTCACCCAGTGCCTGGCTCAGGGGAGAGCTCAGACCCTCCATAAAGGTGAATCAAACCAAAACCTGGGTGTGTGTTGGAGAACAAGTACCTTACACAGATCAGCCCCATCCCGCACTAGTGGAGCCCTCTCTCCCTGTAGCCTACGTGGCAGGCACAAAGTGCACGGGCAAGGTCCCCGGCCTCACCTCTTGGTGGCGGACCATGCTGTCAACGCGAGCCTTCTCCTTGTCCAGCTCTGTGCTGGCCCAGCGGATCTGCTGGCTGGCTCCGTCCAGCCGCCCTGCCAGCAGCTGCACCTGCTCCTCTAGCTGCTGCACCTGCCTCTCAGCCTCTGCCCTGCGCTCAGCCTCCTCCTGTAGCTGCTGGGCCTTTGTCTCTGCAGGATTGAGCAGGCGTGGGAAGGGGTAGGGCAGAGGAGCCCTGGATGTGAGTCCCTGCACTGCCTCTGATCCAGGATGGGACCGCGGAGAAGGGGGGTGTCACAGCACATCTCTGGGCCTCCAGGTCATCAGCCACAAAATGCGGCTATAAATCCCACCTAAAATGGGTTCTGTAAATAGAAGGTGGCAGCCCAACTCGGGTTATTACCCAACAGTGTGGCTGCCCACCCTCCTTTGTGGTTCCCTTTATCTTTGTCCCAGAACCCTGGGAAACAGAGACAGGTGCTTGTTCTGCCATATCTAGTACAGGGTACGTGGTATGGGGCTAAATGATAGGGCTCCTCACCCACGGCCTGTGTGGACTCCTGCTGCTGCTTCAGCTCTCCTTCCAGGGTGGCCACCTTCATCTTGAGGTCACTTGTTTCTATGCAGCCAAGAAAAAGTCCCTTCAGAAGTTCCCTTAGGCCTGGCCAGTGGCCTTCATGCCCAGTGTACCCTGCAGAGTGGTGACACCCATTGCCATGTGGAGAGGCCACCTAGGCTTGTGAGTGAGCACTGGGGCGGCACCAAGAAGCCTGGAGCCCCAGGCCATCCTATTTCCTATTGGCTGACGGCCATGTCTCTAGACCCCTCTGGGCCTCTGTGTCCTCCACATAGGTGACAGCGAGGTTCAGAAAGAGCAGTGACTTGCCCATATCCCTCCGGCCTCACATCAGCAGGCACTGGCTGACTTCCAGTCCCAATGGCTGCATCTCTTTGCCTAACGGCTTTCGCCAAAGCCAAAGAGACTACTCTGCTGGCTGGAGGTGCCAGGAGAGCAAGCTCCCCCAGGTGTCACCGTCAGTGACCAACACGAGTGAGTGGATAAATCCTCCAGCTCCCTCACCCCTCTGAGGGGATAACTCTGAGGCACGTGTTCTACAACAGATCCAGTGTTCTCAGTGGAATTCAGCTCTAGTTGCCTGCAGTTGCCGGCCTGATGAGTGCACCTTTGTTTTGCTGCCTTCCCTTCCCTGCATCTCCGGCCCACTCTCCAGCCCGGGTTTCTTCCACACCAACTACTTGTACCACAGGCCCTGTCTCGGGGTCTGCTTCTGGGAGAGCCCACACTAGGGCTATAGCAGAGCCTCGGGCACTAAGGGGTAGGCCTCTGGGGCACAGACCTGTGAGCAGTTGCTGCTTGTCGTGCTCCCACTTGGCCAGGCACTTTTGGGCCTCCTCTGCCTGCCGTTGCCGCTCCCCTTGCTCCTGCTGCAGTGCCTGCTCCAGCTCGCCCACCTGCTTCCTCAGTCCATCCTTCTGCCCCTCAGCTTCCTCCAGCTGGGTCCTTAGGGGCCCAATATGCTTACTGAGGCGCATCAGGTCTTTGCTCTGCTCTGCCGCCCAGTGGCCCACAGTGGCAGCCGGCAGGGGCCTGAGCCCCATGCTGTCCTGTACCAACTGCTGGAACTGGCCCAAGGACGAAGGCAAGTTCTGGCTCTGACACAGGCTGATGACCACCTTGCCCACCTCCTGCAGGCTGCCCTGGACACTGGTACACGCATCACAGGGTACCAGGGCCGTTTCCACAGTCTGGGAGTGGACATTCCTGGTATTCTCAGCAGTCCTGGCTGGAGACTGCAAGCCTGGCATTGGGGAGGGGGCCTTGATGAACTTGGCAGTCACAAATTCAGGGCTCTTGGCTGGCTCGCCCTTGGCTGTAGGCTTGGAAGTAGGGATCTCCCCTTGGTTTGCCCTTTTCTGCGGTCAGGAAAAGAAAAGGAAAGCAGGTGAGCAAAATGAGCCTGGGAGGTGATCACGTCCCTGGGGATTCCTGTGACAGCTTTTCCTGATGCTCAGACCCTCAGATGTCATCTAACACCAATGTGAATGAGAGAGAACTTTCTTTCTTTCCACTGCCTCACGTTACCAAGCCCAGGCCTCCTCTCTGCTGCCCGCCCCACCCCCCCAGGCTCAATGGAGTTAAATGCATGGTACTGGGAGAGTGACAGTGACAGACACAGCTGCCAGTTACTGGGCTCTTGCTTAGTGAACTTGCCTGTGCTTGTGTCACTTTAGTCACTCTCAGTTTTAGTTTCCTCCCCATCATGATGATGGTGGTCTTTCCCACTGAGTGGTTGTGAGGACTACGGGATAACCCTTAACAAATGGCGCTCATATTAACACTATTGTTCAACAACGCCCTGAGAGGTAGGAAGTGCCGTGACTCCATTGTGCAGATGAGCAAACCGAGGTTCAGAGTAGGTAGGATTTTCCCAAAGTCCCACGGTATAAACAGCAGAGTCCAGTAGCCCAGACATGCCCCCGCGGCCTGTGCTGCTGAGATGCATGGGCCTTGGACTGGGAGTCTCCAGAGCTGACACTCTCCTTCGGGCAGCGATGAATGTGGTGCACATATAGTGTGGCAGGAAGCTGGGGCAGGGTGGACTGGCATGAGGGTGACCATAGCTGGGGGTAAATGACCCACCTGGTGGGGAGCCTGCTGGTAGAGCACACACAGCTTCAGCAGGCTATTCCAGAAGCGCCGCACTGTGAGCCCCACGGACATGCACGGCCCTGCAGCCCGGGCAGAGGGCACCGTCTGCTCTGAACCGAGGTTCTCCAAGTACCTCGCACAGCTCTGAAGTAGCAGCAGGAGCCTGCGGGCAGAAATACCAGGGTCAGCTGAGGTAGAGCCCAGTGCCAGTGCCCTCATGGCACACGACTGACAGCCTCAGGCTCTGGGGGACTGGGCGAGGCATCAGGAACTTGAAGCATCTTAGAATATGCTCTGCTAGGCCAGCTTCAAATTCAACCAAAGAGCCACTTCTTCCTGGAAGCCCACCTTGAAGGCTGAGCTTGGGGCTTCTTCTGAGACTCCTGGGAGAGCACTTCTGCCTGGCTGTTCCCCACTGGATCAGGATGGTCTGGGAGGCTGGGCCTTGCCTCAGTTGTATCTGAGTATTCATAAAATACTGGGTGAGTGGCTGCCTTACATCACGTGGCTCAAAGCCTTCACCTTACAGAGGACAGAACTGAGACCCAGAGGGGAGGAGCTTGTCCATAGCCTCAGGGTGAGCATGTGGGTCACTGGGCTCCCTACAGTTTCCTAATTCTCGTCGGGGGCTTCTCCTGCACGGGTGCTTCTGTGGCAACCACACGTGGAGTGACTCTTCATTAGGTCTCTATCTTAACCTTGGAGTCCCAAATTAAAGCCAGAGGCTAAATTTAAGGAAAAGGGGTACTGGAAAAGTTTGTATTTGCATGGGAAGCAGGCTTTTTTAAAGGAAGACATATTGTGTATACAAAACATACAAGGCAGATAAGTGACCTTCTCTTCTTTCAGGTGCGGGGGGCTCATCCTAAACCCACTTGGTCTGAGACAGAGGGTCTCGGGGAGGAAATGCCAACTGCCTCCAGGCTCAGCCCTTCTCTCAGTCAAGGTATCCTCCTCTATAAATAGGGACAACCGTGCCTGCTGCAGTACTGAGTAGCGCTGTGGAGTGGGAAAGCACCTGGAAAGAAGATAAAGCTTGGCCTTGACAGAGCGATCTATCTGCTCAGACAGGCAAACCCTCTCAGTGGGAGGCTGCTGTGCTGTCTGCATTATCTTCATCCTTAGCCATAATCCCACTCCTGACATGAACTGAGCATCTCCAAAAGCTAGAGCCAGTGACCATGACCCTGTCTTCCAGGGTTCCCAGGCTAGTCTAGGTCTCAGACCCAGTGGTCTCTGCCAGGAGTTATGTACGCACATAGAAGCCCAGGGGAAGCTCTAACTCAGCCACGGATGGGCAGAGGGGTCAGGTAGGAGTAGAAATACATGTCAGCAACAGCTTCACACAAGGGGGATAAGTAAACTGTGCCTTGACAGATGAGTAGGGCTTGGCCAGACCAAGAAGGGGTGAGCAGGTTGTTCCTAGCAAAGGGCTCAGCGTGTGCAAAGCCACTGAGGAAGAAGGGTGTGTTCTGTGTTTACATGTTCAACCCTCACAGGTTCCAAATGGTGCTTTTACAGAGAAGGCTCTTCCAGGCCTCTAAGTAATTACCCTGCCTTCTTTGACTCCAGGCAGGTTATTCCCAAGCTTCTGGGGTCCCTGCCTGGTGTGCCCCCATGACTCCACAACCTCATTAGTATGAAAGGTTTTGGAGCACAGGGAATCTGAGATGCCCAGGAAGTGGAAGGCTAACGACCATGTTAACGTTGATGATAGCACAGACATGGTAGGGGTGTGACAGACTCTACCGGCCCCTTCCCAGCAGGGCTGGGATTTGGAAAAACACAACCCGTGTCTGGCCCCATGACACACAGTGGGCATAACACAGCCTACAAGATGCCAGGAAAAAGAGACTGGGATGGAAACTCTGAACAGCAGCTGTAGTGTCTCCAACACACAGAAACCCTGAGGAGGCAGCTGGAAGCAGCTGGAGAGGCGGTGATCAGAGCTGGGGTGCCGCAGAGACCAATAGGGTGGCCAGCAACTCCCTGATGATGGATAGGATAGGAGATGGAGAGGAGAGGAGAGGAGAGGAGAGGAGAGGAGAGGAGAGGATAGCATAGCATAGCATAGCATAGCATAGCATAGCATAGCACAGCACAGCACAGCACAGCACAGCACAGCACAGCACAGCACAGCACACAGCACAAGGTGCGATCACTGTGAAGGCCCTGAGCGGACCTGGCCCCGAAAGTACTCAGTCAGAGGTGATTATTGTTAATGTTATCGCCACCACTGGAAGGGGATCCCAAGGCTGCTACTGGTCTAAGGGGAGGGTGACAGCATCCCAAGATCACCAGGTTTGGTCAAGGCCCTTACCTGTCGATGACCAGCTCCAAAAGTACAGCATGGGACAGCTGTGTGAATTCAGGGTCACCTGGCACATGGTCATAGTGCTCTAGCAGGGCCACCATGTCCAGGTCACAGGCCACGCGGTCAGGAAACTTCCAGGAGGGAAAGCGCACGGGTCCAGCACGGGAAAAGACGTCTACAATGGCACCTTGCAGGTCGGTGAGGTCCTTGCGCAGGCTGTCCATACAAGCCTGGCTGCCCAGCAGGTGAGCCATCCTCACAGCTCCTGGGTGAGCGGAGAGGAGCCCCATTAGCCAGAGCCATGAGGCGACTGCTGGAGGAAACTTCCTAAGATCCCTATCTGGCCCAATGCTCCTAGGCTCAAGTCCGTCTTAGACCCTGGGGAGAAGTCTGTTTACCAGCCCCAGGTCACCAGGCCCTTTGGAAGCTGGTTATGGGTGACTTTACTAGCCTCGCTCCCACTGACCCTACCCCACGCCTACACTGCCAATTGCATTGTTCCACAAGTACCTCCGAGGGCCTGTGTATGCCAGGACCCTGCTTAATGCTGGACAGATACGTCTGTGAATGAGAATGTACTTACCGTGCTTCCCTCCTAGAGTGAACCATTGAACAGGCAACTGACAACTAAAAGAGAGTTGTAGCTACAGCATGACTGGGAGTGCTGAGCCACACCAGGCTACTGTCATCTCCTACCTACAGCACTGCAGCAGCTTCCGGGCGGGCCACACGACTGCCTGCCCCAATCTGATCACTTCGGCCCCAGAGATCCGGCCAAACCTTATCTGATCACTTCACACTGGCCAACAATCCCTCAAGACTCCTGTGACGCTTGGGAAAAAGGCCTCCTCTGGCTATGTCTCTCACCCCACTCCAGTCTTCCCCCTCTCTGCTCCATATTCCCCATTCCAACTACTATCAACTACAGGGCAACTCATTCATAGGAACTTGTTTCTAGATCTATGTCCATCTGTTTGCTCTATCTGAATTATGCTTCCTCCATATAATTCCCATCACCTGGCTAATTCCATCCTTCAGGGTTCCCGGACTTCACCTGTTACAGGAAGCCTTTCCTGAGCACCCTCCAGGCTAGGTAGATAACCCCTTTGGGCTTCCTCATTTTTGCCCTGATTGCTCTGCTGAACAGCTTTCCTCTCCAGGCCAGGTCCTCAGTCCACCTGAGTCACTGGTATACTCAGTGTGACCAGCCTGGAGCCTGGCCCATTATAGATGCTTACTGGCAAGTGAATGACTTAGTAATTGAATGGAAAAAAGAAAAAAAAAATCCACAAAGAAATTTTAAAATATATTGATTTAGGGTGGAGGGAGGGGGACAAGTCATAGGTGTAAGAGAGGAAAACCTAAAAATTTATATGATACTTATCCTACAGGAGGCCCATTATATGTTGATACAGAGAGTCTCAGACCTGCCCCATCCTGGCTTTGTGGCCTCAGGCAAATCACTGCCCTCCTTTAAGCCTCAGCTGCTTCAGTTGTAAGATGGGTACACAACCTCCAACCAGGCTGGGTGGTTGTGTGAGGCCTTATATGGTGTTCACAAATAAAGTGCTTGGTCCAAGGTAAAGGCATCAGTAAAAGTTCTCCAGCAATAGTACAGATTATTATTGTGATTATTATTATTAGCAGCAAAAGCAGCAAAGATCATCCTTGTCTGGAGCCGCTGCCTACACTTTCCCTTTTCCCCTATGGCCCACACAGCCTGTTTCTTATCCATCTTTGGAGTCTGTGGACATCTGAAGATAATAATTTAGATGAATCACCATGGCCCTTGGCTCAGAAGGTGGAAAAGTGACACTGTCATGTGGCCCCTCCTGTGGCTCATTGTATGCCTTGGGGATTCTACCCTCTGGCACCTGCTGTCAGAGCCAGCACTCTGTTCAGAGCTAGGCAGCCCTGTAGACACTGAGCACTGGTCCTTCTCCACTCTGCAGAAGGGACCCTAGTCCTTTGTGAATTTCTCAGCAGCAGAAAGTGCTTCCTTGCACCACAGCCCCTCCCAGCAATTCAAGGGCTACTTGGGCATTATTTAGGCCATGGCCCCTCTGGTCCCCCAGTAAGTCCAAGTCTGGCTGTGAAACTTCGTTTCCTCCAACCTATTTCCAACCCCCAATCTCTCTTACCTCAGAAAATGGCACCCCCACTGAGTGCACCTGGGCACGTCCTTGAGTCCCCTTCCTTCACTCCCACTTCCAGGCCCAAGTGCTGCCAATCCTATGTCCAAACCACACTGAGAACACACCATTTCTGTCCACCAACACTGCTCTGCACTCCACCATCTCCCCAGACCACTGCCACGGCCTCCCTGAAAGGTTACCCTCTCCCCTCTGCCCAGCATCACCTCTCCCATTCTATATATGGCAGCCAGAATGATTATTTAAAAAAGCAACTCGCACCCCTGACAGAAACCCTGAATGGCTTTCTATAACATAAAGACTAGACTGCTTCCCCGGGCTCCAGCCTTAGGTGGTCTGCCCTCACTTCAGTGTCTCACAACCCAGAATGCACCTTCTCCCATTTCTTCTAGCTAAGACACCTCCCTCAGGTCCTCAGGGCAAGTGAGGTTCTGTTATATATTCACACACCACACTGGCACTGAATCATTATTTGAGTAATTACTTGTGGGTGGCAAGCACATAGACTGTCTTTTGAGTTTACTGGGGTATCACCTGTGCCTACAGGTGCTGGGAAGCTCGGAGGCACCCAGGGGTAGTCCCCGAGAGCTGAGCCAGCCTCTCCGGCCTCCCAGAGTAGTGCCCTGTTCTCACCTCTGTGCAGGTGCCCGCTTATAGAGCAGGATATCTGCACAGGCACCTGTCCGACTCTTGAACTAGCCTGAGGCTCAGGGTCAGAGGCTCATCCAGGTATCTGGCTTCCTGTCTCCAGTGCAGGGTTGGCCCCAAGCAGCTTGTCATCCAGCCCTGGGAATGGATGAAGGCAAAAAAGAGTGAGTGGGCACTCAGGGAGGACTTTCTGAGGGGCAGGGAAGAGGCTGTCCCAGAAGAAGAGGAAGGTGTTCCGGGCTGGAAGAATGGAGTGAGAGAAAAGGCAGGTGGGGTCACTTGAGTTGAGCTGAGCATAGATGACATGCTCCAACAGTACTATCTCTGACCACAGGACCTACTGTGTGTCACTTCCTGAGTCCTGCTCCTTTATACAGATGAGGAAACTGAGGCTATCAAAAGTTAAGGGGTTAGTCTAAGGCCATTCAGGAAGCTGGGATTCTTGGGTCCAACATCTCAGCTCTGTCCTCAGGCCATGCTGCTTCTAGAGCAGCACTTTCCAAAAGAAAAACAATGCGAGCCACATATGGGATTTTTAATTTTCTACTAGCTACATAAAAAAAAAAAAAGAAAAGAAACAGCTAAAATAATTTTAATAATATATTTTATTTAACCCAATATACCCAAAATATTATCACTTCGACATGACATCAATATAAAATCATTAAGAAGATTTTTTTTAACAACCTTTTTTGCATTAAGTCTCAAAATTCAGTGTCCATTTGACACAGCGCATCTCAGTTTGAACCACCATGTGGACTGGTGGCTACTGTATAGGACAGTGCAGATGTAGTAGGTCAGGTCCTGTGTGTTCATTCAGCAAATGGTGACTGAGTACCTACTACATGCTGGCACTGTGTCAGGAACAGGGACAGAGCAGGGCACACAGGAACCACCATCTGTATCTGAGGGTCTCCGCAGGGGGCAAGTCTTGGGTGTGTCAGCTCTGTCAGTCCCACCTACAAGGCCATGAGTATGCACCCCACCACACACACACACACACACACACACACGTCCACAACCGACACAAATATGTTGCTTTGGTGAATGCACCCCACCACACACACACACACACACACACACGTCTACAACCGACACAAATATGTTGCTTTGGTGTCTGCCTCTTGTGAGATATTGCTACCCACGAGATTTTATGTCCCTAAGGAAGAAGCAGAAACAAACAGAAGAAACAGATGGAAACATCCTGGGTTTCCATTCTGGAAAGGGAGGATGGAAATAAATAAAACAATCAAGAAACCCCACCCTGGGAAGAAGCCCTGGAACTCAGAAGCTTGCTTCAGAGGACACCAAGAAACATTGATCATTCACCCTCAAATAACTACAGCTGCCATCTGGGGTCATCTGAGATACGAACTCCTGTTAGATTCTGATTCTGATAAGCACCAGCAAATGCCAAAGAAGCAGAAAATACAAGAGGAAAATGCAACATTGAAAAATAGCCAAGTTTACCTTATGTTGGTTCTTCTGAACACTGAGGATTTGCAGATATCAGCATGGTTTGAAAACCACTTAGGTGTGTCAAGTGAAGAAGCATTTGACACAGGCTTTCTAATTCCTGGGTCTTCAGTAGAACCCTCAGCCTGAAGCTGCCAGACCTGCATGGTTCCTGAGACCATATAGGTGATGGCACTAATTGAGACAATATTGCCCTGGGGTAGGAGGGGCAGTTAACTTTGCCTCTCCTCAGTTCTCTCAAGCTCAAGGTGGACTGCTGACTCGCAGAGAACGAAGGGAACCTTTACGCCATTCCCGGGCAACATTCAAGCCCTGTCCCTCTCTGAGCTCTAGGACCCAACTCCTCTGGTAAAGATTATGTCTACTTCCCCGCCAGTGCGACGGTTGAGATTCGAGGTCATCACCAAGAAAATACTTTGGAAACTCTAAAACCATGTATATGAATGGCAGTTGTGAGTTGACTCAGATTGCTAATTGCCTGGATCCCTGGGGTCACTGAAGACTTGAAGTGAATTCAGAATAAGTAACCGCGTTAGTAAAGGAGTTAAGAATGGCCTGGGTTTGGGTTCCCACTCCACCAGCTCTGAACTTAACTGTCCTCATCTGTAAATAAGTTGCTATAAGAAATAAATGATGTAATGCATGTAGTGTTTGGCACAGGGTCTGGCTCATGATAAAGGTTTAATAAATCCTAGCTGTCGTTATTATTCTATATTAATAATAACAACTATGACATAAACCACCTATGGGGGTTGTGTGTATGAGAGAGAGACGAAGAGGAAGGAGACTTGGGAGGACATCTCTTTCTACCACGCCCCCATTTCACACGTGAGGAAACTGAAGTCCAGGCAAGGGATCAGAGCCGGCCCACATTCAGAAGTTGGGAAGGAGAGAAGAGAGAACAGGGAGGAGAGGATCTCGAGAGAGGAAAAGAAAAGGCAAGATTCGAGGAGTGTCTCGAGAATGAAGGAAGTAGCCTGCATGGAGGTTCCAGTGGCAGTGAGGGGTGGAGCCTAAACCAGCCGCCCCAATTTGATCTGGTCCTTGGGGCTTGCGGGCGGGACTATGGAAGGCAGAGGGGTGGAACCTAGAAAAGGCAGGTTCAAGGGAAAAGAGACCAGTGGTAATTAGGGTTTGGGACTTGGGAAAGGGACCTGGAGGAGGTGGGCCTGAAGTGAGGGGAGGCAGAGGGGGTAAGGAGGTGGGGTTTTGAAAAGGAGAGACCGAGAGGAGGGGGCTCTCCAAAGCGAGGACGAATGGGAGGGAGCTGGTGCCTTGGAAGGCAGGGTCGGAGGGAGCGAGGAAATGGCCAGGGGAGTAAAGGGGCGGGAGGTAGGGCCTTGGGGTACGTACGGGTGATACAGAACGTCTCACCAGTCTCTGGTGTCGTAGCCTTAGCCCCAGTGTCTGGTCGACTCATGGAAATAACTCCAGCTCACCTGCAGCTCCTAGGAACCCAAGCAAACTCTAGCCAAATGCCCGACGGTTTCCATGGCAACGGCGTGTCACGTGGGCCGCTCCCGTGGAAATTGCGTCACGGAGGAGGGGCGTGTCCGGAAGTACGTCAGACGGGCCTCGGCGACGACTCGCTCAGCTGCCGCCATCTTGCGAGCTCGTCGTACCATCGCTGCGGGGAAACTGCTTTAACGCAGCACTGCTCACCTACACCTAGGCGGACTGGCAGCCCTGAGCGTCGCAGTCATGCCGGCCGGACCTGTGCAGGCGGTGCCTCCGCCGCCGCCGGTGGCCACCGAGCCCAAACAGGTACCGTGCCCCCCTCACCTCGACCAGCAGCCCGAGCCTAGGCCTGGGCGCTCCTTTTGCAGGAAGAAGCGGCCAATTAGCTGGGCTTAAAGGGACTACAAGTCCCAGGAGGCAGCGCGCTGCCTTCCGGTAACGAACTGAGCTCTCTGGAACAGTGGTTCTCAAAATGTGTTCTGCGGACCAGCAGCATCAGCATCACTTGGGAGTTTATTAGAAATGCGGAGTCTCCACCACAGATCTTCTAATAGGAATCTGCATTTTATCAAGTTCCCAAAGTGATTCATTAAAGTTTGAGAAACACTGATCCAGCCCATCAGCATCTATGCGATGATTAGTATAACCAAACCCCGTTCCAGGCTCTTACGTTACTGAAGTAAATGAGGCACAGCTCCTGCCTTAGGGAGTTCACAGACTAGTGGGGGAGACAGATGTATTTTATTATTCCACAAATGTTTATTGGCCCATCACTGTAAAGAGCACAGATCTCAATTAGCGGAAGGGGAAAGGCGTATGTAAATATTTGCATTACAATGTGATTTGCTCTATTATAGAAATAATCAGGTACAAAAGAGTAACCCAATCACCATTGCTTTGATGGAGTGGAGGGGAGATTAAAGTAGGTGAAGCCCACTGGAGTGAGAGGTAAATTGCTTTTAGAAGGACGAATGGGAGTTCATCAAGTTGGTGATTAGGAAAGGAATATAGCATTCTTTATTCGTTCAGCAAACATTTATTGAGCACAGGTTGTGTGCCGACCACTGTTTTGGGTTCAGAATACAGCAGGGAACATGACAGAAGAGGTCCATACCCTTTCCACAAATACTCAATTAATTGCCTATGTGTCCCAGCATTTTCCCAGTCAATAGGGAAAAATAAAGTAATACCAGATAGTAAGTGCAAAGGCACCAAAATAGAATCAGATGGTGCTTCTGGTCAAGGGTAAATAGGTGTGGTTGAAGCATAGTGCTGGCAAAGCAGTTGCAAGAGATTCAGTTCTGAGGATTTGAACTACTAGTAGACAATGGAGAGAAAAGGAAGGATTTTAAGCAGGGTAGTGACACATTCGTGTTTCAGAATTTCAAGTTTGTAGGCAGTGACATGGAGAATTACTATGAAGACGAAGGATTAGTCACTTTTTCTAAAGATGCCGAGGACCTGGCTGGATTGGGGGTGACAGTAGACAGAGGGTCTGGGCAAGCTCATGTCACAAAAGGGCTGATAGTACAGGCACTATAGCCAGAGTGATGTGTTAGAAATCTGGTTCTGCTTTCTTTTGAGCCAGTTAAGCTCTCCATTCCTCAGTTTTATCATCTGGAAAATGAGGATGATCAAAGTACTTACCTCAGGGCTCTCATAAAGGTTATGAGTTAATATATTTAAAGTATTTAGAAAAGTATATGACACCTACTCACTCTCCACATTCAGTGATAATAACATTGTTATTATCATGGAATATGGAGACTGAGGAAGCGGGAGGAGGCCCAAGTTTCTGGCCTGGTTGACCAGGGGTGTGGTTGGCTATTCATGAAGAAAGGGGATAGAAATGAAAGTACCTAGAAGTCAACTGGATCTGCAGCTCTGGAGCACAAAGTGATTTGGGATATCAGTTTGGGCAGCGTTGTTCAGCCTAGAGGTGGTAAGGGAAATGGAGGATGTGGTTGTGAGTTCCTGACAGAGGACAGTATGAATACTATGAAAAGAACCAAGAACAGAAATTTGGAGATGCTCGTTATAGGGTAGGAGGTGAAACAGAAGCCTGGAAGGACTTGGATGGAATGGTGAGCAAGAAGGAAAAGCAAGTGAGAAAGGGCCTGGGAGTAGAGAAGTGGAGAGTTTTATAAAGGAGTGGTCATTGATCATACAGCCAGATAACTGCTGTAGTTGGATGTAGGTAGTTGTTTTTGACTTTGGCAAGAGCACTTGAAGTAGATGAGGACCAAATGGGAGGTAAGGAAGTGGGAACGCCAGGGCTGAAAGAACTCAGGATGTTTAGCTAGCAGAGGAAGGGGTGGGAGGTCAGGCAGCAGCAGAAAGGAACATGAGGGAGGGGAGAAACTTTATTTTTCTAAGATGAGAGACTTGACCCTTTGTTTACTTAAGGAAGACTGGTGAGGAAAGAATATTAGAACATATGGGCAGTTAGGGTTGAATATTCCAGTAGAGTTTCACAAAACATTTGAGCATTGAGTGGTGGTTAAAACTATGGAATGGATGCAGAGGGAAGGGGCATTCAAGGCAGAAGGAGCAGCCAACAAGGAGTTTCCTGCTTCTTTATTCAGCAAACAAGGAGTTTCCTGCTTCTTTATTCAGCAAACAATCACTAACTATCCTATGCCATCCCTTGGTGTGGGTGTCCAGGCACATCCCTTGGTGTGGGTGTCTTCTGGATTCTGGAACATGGTTTCTCAGATTGTGATCAGAGCCCCTCTGCATCTGAATCCCCTGAGCACTTGGGAAAAATGCAGAAGGCAGCCAGGGAAGCTGCTTTTTTTTTTACTAGTTACCCCAGAGGGTCCCATGCAAACACAATGCAGTTAAGAGAACCATTCTTCTGGAGCAGAGGTTTCTAACTCAAGGAAAATTTGCGGGAGAAATTCTAATGCTCTCAGTAATATCCTAGAAGGGTATTACTAACTTGGGGGGACAGGGTCCAGCCCCAGACCAGGAACTTCAAGATCTTATTTCCTTTTTCTTTTTTCATAGCCCATGGAAGAAGAAGCATCTTCAAAGGATGATTCTACCCCTTCCAAGCCAGTGGTGGGGATTATTTACCCTCCTCCAGAGGTCAGGAATATCGTTGACAAGACTGCCAGCTTTGTGGCCAGGTAACATAGTTAGTTCTGCTTGTGTGGTTCACAAGTGGATTTTAGCACCAAGAGTTCCTGAATCTGCACGGGGCAACACTGGGCTTTTAGGGAGGCGTTGGCGGCGTAGGCCCATTAGCTCATCTAAAACCACAACATGGTGGTGAGGTAGGCAACTGACAGGACTGGCATCTCTAACAGCATGGCAGTGGTAGAGTGCGAGTGACACCCAGCCCCAGAGTCACCAGGAATCTGTCCTTTCAAAATGAGCCTGAAGAAATGCCTGGAAAACTATTTCGTAATGGGTACTCTGTGTCCATGTCTGAGCCGCTGGCCTGAGGAAGACAAAAAAGGGAGCTGATCATTCCCATTATGCAAGGACTGCATTCCTCAGAGCCTCAAATGACCCATTTATAAAAGGGAATAAAATGCCACTTCAGGTTGTTGTGAGGCAGGAGTGAGGTAATGGGATTAAATGTAATCCAGGTACATTGTGGAAGTGTTAGCCATCTTCTCAGGTGGCATGGAAATCAGTCTGAGTTCCTCTTGTCCCTCTCCTTCATACTTACACGTACACACGTCTTCAGATGGAATCTTCTTGATGGCCACTTAACTCCGAGGGTTAGTACATACCCTAGTTGAGGGTATTTAAAGCATTCTTTTGGCAGCCAACAGGCCACATTCAGCCTACAGGTCTTTTGTTTGTCCTTATAGTATATTTTTTAACTCGAATTAGTCGCTACTTTTTAAAAATGAGACGATTACACAATAAATCTGGATTTCTGGCTTCTTGATGAACTGGACAGCTCTGCATGAAAGCAGTAGCTGGCCCTGAGCAGACTGCTGCCCTCAGGGCATTTGCTCTCCTGGAGGCCTCGCCTTGACTCCTGAGGCACCATCCCCATCATAATACATCAAAAGAGGATTCCTTCCTTTCCTAACTAGCTAAAATAAAACCTAGTAAGAGGTTACTCTGGTTGATATCTTTACTGTGTCAGGTGTCATGAGAGTATCCTCATCTCGTTTCAAGGGCTTTGATTAACCTAGGTATTGGATTAAAACTGTTCTCTGCTTTATTGAACATTATAAGGCCATATCAGATTTAGGGCAGCTGGTGTTGTATTTATGATAAATACTTAATGTCTCATACCAATGCTCATGCTTCCCCTTTCTACCAATATTTTTAAAACAACAAATAGGAAAAGGGTGTTGGACGAAGAATTACCACAATCTCACTACCGGAATAATTTTTGCCAGCTGTTTTCACTTTTTCCTGTTCCTTCTGGCCATCGGCATCCTTTTTTAGATCCTTTTAATACTAGCAGAGAACTTTCACATCCTGCTTTTCCCGTTCGCACTGTGTTGTAACCATTTTCTCATGTTGCTTCATCGTCTCCTAATGCTGCATAGTCTTCTCTGGAGAGGCTGCACCATGTCGAGGTGATGGGCCTTAACTTGGCCATCTCCTCTATCTTTTACTTTGAGATTGTTTCCAATATTTCAGTTTGGCAAATTAAACTGTGGGGGAAGTCTCTGAGCATTTTCTTTCCCTTTTAGATTGTTCGTTAGTTTGTTTTCTTTATTTTTTAAAGAAAATTCTACGTGTCACCTTGCTGGCTGAAATAGCATTTAAAAAGATTCCTTAAACATTTGCCAAGGAGCTTTCCAGTAATTTTGTGCCAACTTCTGATACCACAGAAATAAGAATCTTTCCAAGTTCCTTTAAAAATAAATCTGTACATCTGCATCTCTACATCTATTTTTGACGATGATGATTGCCTTGTAGGCATTTCTAAAATTTGTGAACTTGCTTTTATTTATGTTGCAATGAAGGCACAGATCAGCATCTTACGCTAGGATAAAGCAAACATGCAGGACCCTCAGCTTCACTTCTGCTGGGTTCCCATGTATTGACTGATGGAGCAAACAGTAAAAATCACGAACCAAGTATGGTTTTCCAAAAGTTTTTTGTCAATTAGGTTTCCCCTTCCCTGCATTTTCCT